TGAAACTTTCTATGATGACAGTTTCAAAAACATTTGACGCCCATGTTCAGAGTTTAATGATTGATTTGAACTTTCCATTTCAAACAGTGTTGTCAAAAGCTCATTTAAGGCGCGCTTACGCCCTGAAGCTAAAAAAAGCTGAAGGAGGGGGCTTTGCATTGCTTAAGCTGCAGTTCAGTGATGGTAAGGCACTAAGTCGTACGCCTTATAGGCCATGCTTTCTATGTTGAATGGAGCGGTACTAAACAATAAAATATAATCTGCAAAGAGATATAATAATTGTTAAGGAAAACATTTATGAATGAATTTGTTACTTTTTTCTTGCTTAACGAATATATTTTTATTTTTATTCATTGCGCCTTTTTTTTACTAATGCCCACACTTTAAATGCACTTTGTGCTTAAAGCCCCAATAGACTTAGAGCGCTATTTAAAGCTTTTCACCTTTGATAACACTAATTTAAAATAAATTACTTTCTTTTCTTTCTTATCCATGGGTCTTTTAGTCTTCTCCGTTCAATAATAGTTGATTCCTTCATAAGCAAAGTGTCGAGCTAAGCGCAAGCCTTCTAAATCAAGCTTGTCCAAGCTCTAGCTATTCAAATAGCGTTAAATCGAGGCGAACTTGTGGAGTTATTAGGATGTATCATCACGACGAGATAGGAAGGAGACTTGCAATTCCATTGGATGGAAAAGATGTAGTATTTGTTAGCTTAAAATGAACATCTGAAATCGTCTACTCAACATAACAAATTTCATACAGCAGTTCATACCTTGACTGCAGATGTGCCACCTGAAATGGGAGTGGGCAAAGGGAAGCAAGAAATAGTACTTAGTTACTCTCCCTGCTGGTTAAGATAAGATTAGAAACTCAATGCAATAAGGAATAGGATTTTCGAACCTGCCCGTCGACTTAGAGTCTGAAGTCTCTCTGAAACTTGAGACTTCCATTTTGTTAGCTTTTGACGATATGATTTCACTTTCTCTTGTTCACTGTTTAAAAACCACAAGAGGGCGGCCCAATTACACCATAATCCATCAGATGGCCAAGAAAATCAGATATGCCAGAAACGGATGATTTATTTCCATGCATTTCTTTAATCGTAAAATTTTCTTTACATTTTACTAAGTATATTGAAACAAACCAGCCCAGTTTTCATCCTATGTACCTACTGCTGTCGACGTATCACACCAAACATCTAACTTTGCATCAGAAATCAACTAAATAACTCTACTACAGAAATAAAAGAGACAGAAAAGTGTTAAAACACAAGAATCCAGTCAACACAGACAATTGCAAAATGTGGTGTTCAATGAATTAGCATTCTGTACATGTGAATAACGCTGAATTGCACATAATTAGAAGTAATTCCCAAAGACTCTGTGGCTAAAAAGTAAAAAAGATATATCGAAGTAGTTCTGATGATTCAATAATCTTATTACTTCAATCCGAAGTTCTTAGTTACTTCGACTGGATGAGTCCTAGCGAGGGAATAAT